ATAATTAATAAACTCTATTCATATTCCATAAATATTCAAATCATAATAAATGAACTCCAATCATTTCTATAAATATCTCAATTAATTGGGTTGCAAAGGTTGTATAAATGCACAAGGTTGTAAAAGAAATATACCCTATATATATATATATATATATATATATATATATATACACACACACACTTTAAACCGATATATGATTCTTTAAGGTAATAAAAAGTGATTGCACTCTATTGGTAGTGTCATTACATATTTTATCATATGTTACAAATCAAATTCATTTAGTTCTTTTTACTAAAACCCCCTATATATTTCAAGGGCAAATTACATGAAAAAGTAACGTACTTTAACTTGATTTTTATTTTATGTAACATATTTTCAAAACTTTCATTTTTTACTTAAGATGTAAAGTTTTAAACATTCAATTACCCGGGTAGCCGGTTGAATCATTAACTCTTTATTCTAATAAACCACAATACATAAAAACTAATTTTAGATTAATATATTCATGTCAGCAAATAATACTGAGTTGGATACTATATCACTCGCCACATAAGCATGGTAACCGGTTAATGCTTCAACCAATTACCCGAGTACTTAAATGTTTTAAAATTTTACATCTTAGGTACCAAAATGAAAATTTTGAAAGTACGTTACCCCAAATAGAAACCAAGTTAAAATACGTTAATTTTGCATTCAATTTGCCTATATTTTAATGAAATTGTATTTTTTTTTAAATTACTATTTTATTTTGTCTTATTATTTTGTACCTTTGGTAGAAAAAATTTAGACACCGGGTACCAGTTCCAAACGGTTCCGAGACCGGTTCCTAAATATAAAAAACCGGTGTAACCGATTCCAGTTTCTTCATTTCAAAAACCGTCAGTTTTGATTTCGTAAATTTTGATCAGGTATCGTCTTTGCTCACCTCTAATCATGATATGTGATTTTATTAAAAGAATATTAAATAATAATTAAATATTATAAAAAGGGTGTATGGAAGCATCGGTGCAACTGTTGGTGAGTAGATGTTTGTGTGGGGGTGTTGATGGACTGTCTAACGGCTGGATTCACAAATCCGTCGCCAATTCCTTTGTCCTTTTATGTGTTATATATATATATATATATATATATATATATATATATATATATATATATATATATGATCATATGA